TAAGAGATGAGGTCTAGGGGAAAAAAAAAAGAGATGAGGTCTTGGCTGAGTGCAGTGGCTCAAGCCTGTAATCCCAGCAGTTTGGAAGGCCAAGGCAAGAGAATTGCCTGAGCCCAGGGGTTCCAGACCAGCCTGGGCAACTTGGCGAGAGATCGTCTCTACGATAAATAAAAAAATTAGCCGGGCAACATGGCGTGCACCTGTACTTCCAGTTACTTGGAAAACTGAGGCAGAAAGATCGCCTGAGCCCAGCAGGTGGAAGCTACGGTGGCTGTGAGCATGCCGCTGCACTCCAGCCTGGGTGACAGGGTTAGACTCCAACTCAAAAAAAGAGATGAAGTCTTGCTATGTTGCCTAGGCTGGTCTCAAACTCCTGGGCTCAAGCAATTCTTTTGCCTCAGCCTCTTAAAGTGCTAGGATTACAGGCATGAGCCACTACACCTGGCCTAGTCTACTTTCTCTGTGCCACAAGTGCTGGCCTTTCCACACAAAGACATTCAAGGCTGCTGATTTTCTCTATTTAATAAATTGAATACTGTGCCACTCCAGACTATTAGTCTACAGATAAGCCTTAACAGTCGCTTTCTCCCTAGCCTACCTCTCTTTCAGACAAATCCAGGTGCTAAAAGAATCTTCCTATACCATAGCAGGGTCTCTTTTGTCTCATCCCATGCTAGGTTGTACCTGATGATAGAGCAAATGGATTGGAAATCCCAGGTAGGGAAGTCAAGTTTAGAACAGAAGAGGTCCCTTAACAGAATCTGATACTTTTCCAAGCTTTCCAGGGTAGTTCTATCAGCTTTTTTCCTCCTCCTACCTATGCCCTACCTGCTATTATATGACACACAGCTCCTTGCAGACTCCACTCTGCTACTCACTAGTTAAGGGTAGGGGCAAGAAGCACTAGTTGAACGCTCCTAAAGAAGCAGAGAGAACATTCCACTGCCTCCAAAAATAGAACCCCAAGTTACAAAAGGCCCTTCTCCAACACACCCCATTGGCTGTCACCAGGCCTGAAATTCCAAATAGTGGCCTTAAGTAGGTTCCAAAATGTTTCCATATAATTTGAAATTGCTAAGGCAGAAAAAGAAAGCCTTAATCTAGAACACAGTGATATGTGAGAGTGTGGGGGTTTCGGGAGTGGTGAGTGGGTCGGCTAGGATGTTTTTAATGTTAAAATTGAATTCTGAGTTGCTCTCTTTTTTGTGTGTCGGAGTCTCACTCTGTTGCCCAGATTGGAGTGCAGTGGCACACTCACAGCTACCGTAGCCTTGACCTGCTGGGCTCATGTGATCCTTCCACCTCAGCCTTCCGCATAGCTAGAACTACAGGCATGCACCACCACACCTGGCTAATTTTTTGATTTATTGTGGAGACTGGGTCTCACCAAGTTGCCCAGGCTGGTCTCCAACTCCAGGGGTCAGGCAATCCTCTTGCCACGGTTTCCTAGTATGAGCCTCTGCACCCAGCTCTGAGTTGTTCTTTTTAGGTTCAAGTTCCAAAATAAACCCTGGGAACTGGGCATTATTCAGCAGAGAAGCTGCTTAGAAAGAAGGTGAAGAGCCGGGCTCAGTGGCTCAGCCTGTAATCCCGCGCTTTGGGAGGCTGAGGTGAGTGAATTGCCTGAGCCCACGAGTTGGAGACCCGCCTGTGCAACTTGGCAAGACCTCATCTCCACAATAAATCAAAAATTAGCCAGGCGTGGTAGTGCGCGCCTGTAGTTCCAGCTACTTGAAAGGCTGAGGC